CGTCTGTGCTCGACCACAGAACAGTTTCAGGCTCAGCTGGATCTTCTCCAGTGCGTTAGAACTGGGCTCTGTTGGCGCTCGCCCAACCCAATGTCGCTGGTGTGTGTAAACATGCAGATTAAGGGCGGGAATATTATAATAAGATCTTCTTCATATGGCAGAATCTGATCGGCTTATTTTATCGGCTTTTGCTTTCTGCAGTCGCCATTCATTGTTTACATGCACACCTGTTTAAATCTAACTGAATTCATTCCGATTGGTGAATCTGGATGTAGTGTTTACATGACGAGCGCAACGGCCTCGAGCCTCAAGCCGAATTCCGGACATTTTGGACGATCTCAAAATCCTGGGCAGACTCATCACGGAGACTCACTAGTTGCCTAGACTTGTTGTTTAACACTTTTACCGGTGGGCGTGGCCCATTTACCATTTAAGCCAAAAATAAATTTTCTGGCTTTTCTCAGTTTAGAAAGCTCCAAATTTCAAGAATAATTTCACATTTCTTCTACATAAATGACCCATTTTAAATACACATTCATCTTTCCAGAGGTGAAGTATCCCTTTAAGCACCCGTGATACACAAAACTTATGGTTTGGTTTTCCCACGGTTTTGACGTCTCGGTTCGGTTTAGAAAGCTTAAAATTGCTTTTTTTAAAACAGTGGTTTAATGAAAAATTTGTCTTTGTCTTAATTCAATTACAATTAAACGTTTCATGAGGATTAAAGGATCAGATGCTATTTATTTTTTAGAAATAATTATTAACACGCAACACATTCTATGAAAACATGTAAACTGAACATAAGGCAGTTTTTGCATTAGCTTGTGTTTTTTACAATTTGTTATTGGAATGTACACAATTGTCATTTTCATTAAAGATATTTTAAACATACATTAAATAATCAAGATATCATTAACAGGTTAAGTAAAATATAATATATAGGCTAACATAGTGCATTTATTTAATTCATTATAGGAACCAAAGTTGTGGACACTGAATCACTTGCCTGTTGACTGTTGAGGTAAATATAATGCAAGTGACAACTATGTTGTTTATAGACGTCTTTCCGCTGCTGAAACACTGATTGAGCGATTACACGAGTTATGATGCTTTTCAGTAAGTATACTGTATCTTTCAACATACCTTCAGGTGTCCATTTTGTATCTGAGGAAGAGATGATCGCGTTTACTCGCGCGCCGCGCTGCCGCTTGACATGAGGATCCATCAGCGATATGTCACGCCACATCACAGGGCGCCAAAACGCCATTGTTTGAATTTCGTGATCAAATAGACAGAATTTGAAAGATTACACCTTGCTTATTAATGAAAGTAACAAAACACGGAGTTTGTTATTTGGAGTTAATGGTGGTTAGGCTAAAACCAACACTATAGCCGCCTTTCCACTGCACACAACAAACGACCGCCGTCGGACCGGAAGTCATTCATTTCCAATGGAGAGTCGTACGGGAGCTGCGGGGAGTTCCGATATGCGTGTGCGGAAAATTCGGATCCGATTTGAGCTTTCCGTTGAAATATCTGAACTTCTGCGGCTAGACCGTATGCGACCGGCCAACCGGAAGTGATGTATTCTAATAAAAACTATGAGTGCGAGGCTAGAATTACAAACTTATGTTTTAATTACTTATGTTTTTCTGTAAACAATCTTTCTGTAAAATATTGGTTATAATTAACTATAGCAGAAAAAATATTTTATAATTATTAAATCAATATATTAATTTGTTTTATGGCTAATTCGTACGACCTCACTCGTACTAATTCGTACGATTTGTCTAAACCCACGTGATGGTTAGGTTTAGGGGCGGGGTAAGGGGGTAGACTGTCATTCGTACGAATTCATACGAATTGGCCAATTCGTAAAATATGTACGATTTAGCAAAATCGTATTAATTCGTACGAGTGAGGTCGTACGAATTGTTACGAATTAGCCACTTTTTAATCATTCGTCGAATTCGTACAGCTGGCATTTTAACGTTGATTCACCGGTGAAACAACGTCAGGGACCATGGTTGGATCAACATTGAATTATGTTTCGATTTTGCAAATCTAATCAACGTTGTTTCACCGTTGACATCATGAATGTTGTTTCACTGTTGATGTCGCGACGTTGTTTGTTTCACGGTTTCTCCTTTCAATATGGGTGAGTAAGGTTGTATGTCGAAGTTAAACCAACATTTAATTATGCTTCGGTTTTGCAAATTGAATCAACGTTGCTATCGTGATATTGTTTCAGTCTTACCTTTCAACATGGGAGAATACAATTATACATTAAATTACAACGTAGTTTGAATACACGATCATAACAATGCTAACTGATATAGTGATTAACTGTAGTCTACACTAAAACATTGTTTAATGTCAAATGACTGACAGCAATGGCTTAATTACAAACACATTTAATAAAGAGTTAGCACATGCTCAAGATTGTAAAACAAGTTTTATTTTGGAAAACAAAACAAAAAAGTCTAAAAATACTTTCTACATCTGAAAACTTCAACTTGCAGTGTTTTCAAAGTAATGTTAAAGTAAAGTACAAAACTGAATGGAATACTTAAAAGACAGTTTTTGTTCAATTACAGTAAAACTTAGATAAAATACATTTAATATTTAAAGTGTACAGTAACAGTAGAAAAACTTAGCATCTCAATAAAATACGACAGCCTTTTGCATTGCTAGTAGAGTCCCAGCTCGAGGTCCGTTCCGATGCCATCGCTTCCTCTGCTCTCTGTACGATCCTGTAGCTCATAAATAAAAGCAAAAACAGTTAAAACTGAATACAAAATAATTTACAAGATTTTCACTTCACTGTTCAATAACAGTCAAGTTGAAAAAGTATACAACACTATCCAAGGCATGTTATGTATTCAGATGTAAATGTACAATATCAACCATAATTAACAAGCAGTTCTTCAGAGCCTCAAGGTGGAATTGATTGCTGCTTAATATTAAAGGTCACTTTGAAATAAATTTTTGATATGTTTTATCTTACCTCAAGGGCATCCAAGATGTAGGTGTCTTTGTTTCCACAGTATTTTCAATTTTGACATTTTTAGGTCAAACCGTTCTTGTCTGTCAGTCATATAAACGAGGTCTATGGTCACCACCTCAAAGAGCATGCAGAGAAGTCCAGATTAAACATGATTTAATGACTCGTAAATGATGGCCTAAGACACGAAACGAGCGGTTTGTGTGAGAAAACCAACAGTATTTAGGCCTATATCGTTTTTACCTCTTGTAAGCACAGCCACGTCCAAGTGATCTGAAGGCATAATCGGTCTGCGCAAGCGCCGGAAGTGATTCATTGTTTACACAGAGATTTCGGAAGTTTTAACTGTCACTGGGATCTAAACATATTTAGATATATAGGAAATCGCAATAAAACTTCCGAATCTCTGTGTAAACAATGAATGACGTACACACGCAAGAGATCACTCCCAGCTTATGCGCAGACCGAAGCGCCCGTGCCTTCAATCAGTTGGACGTGGCTGTGGTTACAAGAGGTAAAAACGATATAAATACTGTTGGTTTTCTCACACAAACCGCTCGTTTCGTGTCTTAGGCCATCAATGTGTACTTACATTTACCAGTCATTAAATCATGTTTAATCTGGACTTCTCTGTGCTGCTCTTTGAGGTGGGCCCCATAAATCTCCATTACACGACTGACAGACAAGAACGGTTTGACCTAAAAATGTCATAAAAGTGATTTCGCCAGTATTTTTATAGACCACGTGACATTACGACCCCATCCTCTGTTCACATTCCCGCTTTTGTCCTTCATTGACGTATCACAACTCAAATTCGCTCAAAATAAGAATTTAACAAGAATTTATAAAATAATCCGTGTCCGACGGGGTAATAATCAGCAGAGCAGATGCTCACCTCACACACCGACTCAAACAATAACGGACGTATTTTCAAACTTAAAATAGGCACGCATTTTGTCATAGGCTAGTTTCCTGGAAGACAGAAAGATTAACCAATCATGATCAAAGTAAACCGGTGAAACAACCAATAACAGTAGTTTCAGCGTGGTAACGTAGCGAAATGTGTATAGTATATTTAGTTTGCAGTCTGTATTTATTTAATTAATTTGTCAAATGGTGTTTTCATGACAGTGTATGATTAAAAAAAATAATAAAGCATGTTAAACTGTTAGGTAAGCACACAGTATTGTAAATCCACACAAAATCACAAAGCAAAAAGTTTCTGCTGCACTCTTGAGGTTGAAATTATTGGAGAGTTGTCTATAATGATAATAATTATATTTTAACATATCCATTGAAAGGCTGTATTATCAGAATATCATTATATGGCAGAATATCATTAAATGCTAATAATGATCACAATACTACTTAATAAGGCAGATATTTCTGTTGTATGTTGTTGAAAACATTAAGTTGTTCCAACGTACAGATCTTGTAAAAATTTCAACGTTGATTTAGAAGTGTTTTGTTAACATTTTTCAACCATTTAGCATTCAACGTTATATCAACGTTGTTTCAATGTTGAAACAACAACTGACATTATTTCAACCATATTTCAACGTTGAAGGTCGGTCATATGCCAACTTGGTCGTGAGATCGGGTTGTACAAAACTGAATTTGTTGTGTACTGTTACCATAAGACATGAGGTCCAATGAGCCGGGCTGGGCGGGGCCGGCGTAGCAGGGGGCGGGGCATGTTCGGTACGCAATGAGAGTATCGCGATTCAAATCATAAGTTCTGTATCGCGGTTTTTCGGTTCGGTTAGAATATCGTTACGCCCTGTTTTCAGACATAGTGCAAGTGTGTGTTTGTGAGTCGCAGGGCAGCAGGTGCAGTGTCAGCGCCCCCTGGCTGTGGAGCTGCAGTAGTCGCACAAACTCTTCCGGCATCTTGTGCATGTGGGAGCTCGGACGGCTCAGGTCGTAATAATGGTATGGAATCGGCTGATCCTGCAGGTCGTTATCGAACGGCCAGAATCCGTAAACGTGAACATGCTCACACAGTATATAAATTATTTTCTCGATCCGTCTCTGGTGAGTCGCAGGGCAGCAGGTGCAGTGTCAGCGCCCCCTGGCTGTGGAGCTGCAGTAGTCGCACAAACTCCTCCGGCATCTTGTGCATGTAGGGGTGCGGACGATTCAGGTCGTAATAATGGTATGGAATCGGCTGATCCTGCAGGTCGCTGCCGAACGGCCAGAATCCGTAAACGTGAACATGCTCACACAGTTCCAGTGCAGTGCTGATTAGCATAAACCCAGTGGAGAGGCGCGTCTCCCGCAGGCCACGCCCCTTCCAGAACCGGTCCAGTGACCGCAGGTAAGAGGGGCTGAAGAACACCACCGGCTGATGAGGTCTGATTGGCTGGAGGACTTTGAGCACTTTGATTGACACTGATGTGCAGAAGGTGTAGGCGAAGGCTGGAATAATGACGGAGGCGTTTCCGTACACACTGACCCGCTCCACCAACGGATCCGGATTCTTCTCCATGTCTTTGTATCTATAGATACACACACACACACACACAATATCAGTAACACATTACAATTAGGTTCATTACTTAACATTATGTATTAACTAACATGTATAACTATAACTATCGGCAATACGTCATTTCTTACAGTATTTATTTTAAGGTCTCATTGTTACAGTGTAATTTTATATTTAAGTACAGAGTAATATCATTAAAAAACATGTAGGGTTGAGGGTTAATTGCATGTAATTATGTATAATTTACATTTATTGCTGTGGTAAGTGCATGTAACATGTAACAAAGACACTGTAAAATAAAGTGTTACCATATTTATTAATATTTGTTAATGTTAGTTTGTGAAGTGTTACCACGTTATCTAATAAACAATATTGAAAAAAAAACAGATCTAACTGTATGCCTGCATATATACAGTATATGTTGGATATATGAGAATAAAAGTGTCTAATATTATTATAATTTTAAATAATCTCACTGAGAGGAGTGTGTGTGTGTGTGTGTGTGTGCACTAACCGGATCTGACTGGGGTTGATGGTTATCAGATCCGTCTTCAGCCCAACATCACTGTCATTAATCACTGCCAAATTAAACCTGAAAGAGAAAAATAAATCTGTGAAACTGGTGCTTCTTCAATCTTTTAGAAGTAAACATAACTGGTGTGTCGTCCAAGCTAAAGTAATGTTGGGATCTACGTATATTATCCATGCGTTTGTTAGAAAGAAAGAGAATCTGATGCTGATGATATTTAATAATCACTTTACTATAAAATCATATTAACATGGTTGTCATTTTAAAATGGTCTCCTACTGACAAACACAACCAGATCTAAAGTGGTGTGTGATTTCATGTTCACAGTCATTGCTAGTGTGACTTCCTGAAGTATGTGATGTGTTCACGACATGTCACACTTGTCTGTTTTATTTGGCCATCTAGTTAAGCATTCACAAAAGAATTTGCTCTAACAGCCTTTGCACAGTAACAGCAGATAGAGCCGGTGTAATATTAGCCCCTCGCCCGAGCTGATAAGAGATGTGTGTCGTGTGCTTTCTGTGTAAATCCACAAAAATAAAGACTGTACACTGATTAACCATTTCAACTCTTCACAGAGAAACTGACTGCAGCTGTTTCACGTTTCAACGCTGCTGTAAAAAACACAAGTGAGCGCACATCACTAGAACTGTATTTTAATTGGGCAAAATCCCCAACAATGAAACTGAACTGATAAACTAGATTTAAAAGAGTTCAAAGTCTCTGTGATCTTCTGGTCTGCAGAAGTGGCTTGGGTCCCTCCTCTTATACGCGTCTGTGGGGTTTTTAGTGGTTAAGAACAGAAGGTGTGATGCCACTTATTGAATTTAACTATTATTGTGCTCTGTAAGTCAATGGCAGCCCATAAAACCATATTGTAAAAAGGTGTGAAATTTGGCACATAGATAGAGGACAGTTCAAACATTCAACACAGCAAAATTGGAGTCTCTAACTGATTCGCTTTAGTGCAACTGTCCAAAAATCAACTCTTGGTCCCAACACTTGGTCAGGTGGAACCAGGGATTGAACCACCAACCTTCTAGTTTGTAAACAGAGACTAAGCCGCTTACCGTTTACATCGGAACCGGTTCCCTATTGGCACCGCGTTTCGGTACTCAACCCTATCCATAATGCATCCATCTGCGTATTCAGTACCTTTGTCCAAATTTTCAAAAAGTTTCTGCCAGTGAAATCAAACGCACTGGCGCTGATCTGTGATTGGTCTGTTAGCGCATTAGGTCCAACCCCCTATGGGCGGGTTTGAAAGGGTGGGATCTAGTGCTTGTAGTCTTTACAGAAATCCTCCCCACTTCCTCCTACAATGACGTAAAATGACGATTCTTCATTGTGGGAGGAAGTTAAAAGGGTAAATAGCGGATTTCTCTCGTTTGAGGGGAAATTGAGAGAGTGTTTCACGACCATTCATTAGTATGACTGGATTTCTAACAATGGAAATCTTAATGCAAATGGGTGGAGTGTCCCTTTAATATCTTTCTATTCATAAGGGCCAGAAACAAAATTCTACAATTTTTGAATCATTTTGAATTTTCGAACTCTTCCTAGACAGTTCATCCAATTTTCATGAAAATCTGGCACGTGGTGTTAAGCGACAAACACCTGATCTGTTGCGGGTTATAAAAGTCTTTGTATTGTTGAGTCATTTTGATTCCTTTGTTATTTGGGTAAGTATTGTACTAGACTTCTACATGGATTCGTTTTTGTTCATTCCGTGTCTATTCTCACCTGACGTATTTAGTGCCAGAAAGTTGTGTGATCAAATAGGATGATCATAGTTTTTACTTTAAATGATTCTGATTGCAATGTAAGCAAAGAAATATAAATTGCTTAATTTTTCTACATATTCATGATTGTATGTTCTTTAAGCGATGAACACTTGACTAGGAAGTTGGGGCTTCAAATCCCATGTGATGAAATGTCCAAATTGTTGCATTCAAGAGTTTATTTGGCTCTCTATTGAAACTGTTGTTTTCTGTTATTTAAAAGTAAGAAATAGCCTAGTAAAGGTGCTGCTCCTGGAGATCAGGGTTGGATCTGAAACTTGCAAGTCAAACCATCTGTGCAAGTGCTCTTATTTTATGTTATGGCTGAACGAGCTGACTGTGACAACATTGTTGTAGCCAATGAGGGAGCAAGGAATTATGGGATGTGTTTACCGTATGACGAAATCTGTGCTGTCAATCTCACGTCCACAGCTGCTGTTTTTTAAAATCCCACTGCTGCCGACCACAGCACACCGACCCAGACGCCGACCGGACCAGGGGTAGTCCTGCACACACAGAGACACACATGCACACAAACACTATATTAATGATATTTGCATGAATATTGATGAATATTGAATATTGCATAGTTCGATTTCAAAGGAACTTGCGTTGCATCAAGAATTGGCGCTGTGGGAACGCGTCTGTGTGATTGGGTCGTGAAGCACATGTGAAATCAGTCCAATGGCATGACAACATCATTGGCGGGTGACATCACGGCCAGGAAACTATAATGGTGCGTTCACACCGGACGTGAATAGCGCGTCAGGCGCGAATGATTTCAATGTTAATTCAATGCAAATACGAGGTTCGCGCGTAAAAAAAAAAAAACCTCTTGTGACTCTTATCCTCAGACATCTAACTCCAGCTATCTCTTCCCTAAATCATCACGTCCCTGAAGGCCCCGATGTTACCCACCAAGCCTGTCTGAACAACATCAACTTTGGTGGGTAAAGCTTATTTGTAAGCAGGTCAGGCTGCGGCATGTCTACACACCATATCTCTGCTTCAGGCGTACCAAACTGACCTGCTAGGAGACCTAGATCTTGAGAGAACTGCACCGGGCCACAGATCCTTCTCTAGGCCACCAAGGAGATGGCTAAATCTATCAGCCGTTCAATAGAGGGGCATCTCTGGTTAAACCTCTCAGGGATAAATGAGAAAGATAAACGTTTCCTCATGGACGCCCCGCTTTCACCACCTGGCTTCTTCGGCAACACTGTCAATACAGTCATCAAGAGGTTTCAGAAGGCAAACAAGCAGGCGGCAGCAACTCTCAGGTCTCATCTTCGTCAAGCCCATATCTCGATGTCCACCCTGAAACGTAGTGGTGCTGGGATGCTCGCTCCCTCTGGGAAGGGTTTCAGAGCAATCAGTTTGGTTTTTCCTTGCCGGTTCACCGAATTGGTCGTTTGAGTAACACCAGAGAGCAGTTTTGAGAGACTGCACGCCCACGGGTCTCGCACGCCCAGATTTATGGGGGTCCCGTCCACAGTGGTAGTCCCGAGCAGGCTCTGGTTATGGACCAGGAGGTAAAAGCTCTACTGGGGAAGGGGGCCATAGACATGTTCCTCCCCCAGACAGGGTTCTACAGACTGTATATTATCATTCTAAAAAAAGCTTGCGTCCGATTCTTGCAGTAAAGCAGCTTTAGGGACTGTTGGGTCTGATAGCAGCTGCGTCCAATGTGATACCTTTTGGCCTGCTGTACATGAGAACCACTATGAGTGGCTCAAGACCAGGGGGGTTTTCCTCAAGGGTCAATCTGATTCACACGATCAAGGTAGAAGTAACCTTGTCGTTGCGAAATGCTAACTACGGATGCGTCCTTCACAGGCCGGGGAGCAGTCTTAGATGGTTGCTCGACTCAAGTTCTGTGGAGGGGTGCCAAAACCAGGGAGCGGATGTACTGTCGAGGGAGGGGCGGAAACCTGGGCAATGGACACCCCACCCCAAGGTGGTGGAGTAGATATAAAGGGTGTTCGACTAGGTCAGGGTTTCTCAAACTCCGTCCTGGAGGGCCACTGTCCTGCAGAGTTTAGCTCCAACCAGTGTTGTAGTCGAGACCACCTCACTCGAGTCCGAGTCGAGACCGAGTCCATAGAGAGTCGAGTCCGAGTCGAGTCCGAGACCAGATAGAGTCGAGTCCGAGTCGAGACCGAGTCCATAGAGAGTCGAGTCCGAGTCGAGTCCGAGACCAGAGAGAGTCGAGTCCGAGTCAAGACCGAGACCAGAGAGAGTCGAGTCCGAGTCAAGACCGAGTCCATAGAGAGTCGATTCCGAGTCGAGACCGAGTCCATAGAGAGTCGAGTCCGAGTCGAGACCAGAGACGGTCGAGTCCGAGTCAGGACCGAGTCCATAGAGAGTCGAGTCCGAGTCAAGACCGAGACCAGAGAGAGTCGAGTCCGAGTCGAGTCCGAGACCAGAGAGAGTCGAGTCCGAGTCGAGACCGAGTCCATAGAGAGTCGAGTCCGAGACCAGAGAGAGTCGAGTCCGAGTCAAGACCGAGTCCATAGAGAGTCGAGTCCGAGTCGAGTCCGAGACCAGAGAGAGTCGAGTCCGAGTCGAGACCGAGTCCATAGAGAGTCGAGTCCGAGTCGAGTCCGAGACCAGAGAGAGTCGAGTCCGAGTCGAGACCGAGTCCATAGAGAGTCGAGTCCGAGTCCATAGAGAGTCGAGTCCGAGTCGAGTCCGAGACCAGAGACGGTCGAGTCCGAGTCAGGACCGAGTCCATAGAGAGTCGAGTCCGAGTCGAGACCGAGACCAGAGTTTAAAAAATATGATCAGTTTAGGGTAAAAAGGCCACATAGTAGGTGGTGTTAAAAGTAATTTTATTACAATTTGTCATGCGCAGTTGCGCATTAGAAATTCACCAATCACTGAGCATGTCAATCAATTTAAAGAAATATTTTATTAACATACATTAATAATCATGAAAAATATTTTGAATTGAACTCGAGTGGACTCGGGAATAATTCCGAGTCCTAAAAAAAAAATGTTCGAGTACGAGTCAATTCCGAGTACAAATGCACACGAGTCCATGACAAGACCAAGACCATTAAAATATGGTCTCGAGTCCGAGACGAGTCCGAGTCTCGAGTACTACAACACTGGCTCCAACCCTGATCAAACACACCTGAGCAAGCTAATCAAGGTCTTCAGGATCAGTAGAAACTCATAGGTAGGAGTATTTGATCAGGGTTGGAGCTAAACTCTCTCCAGGACCGAGTTTGAGAAACCCTGGACTAGGTGTTTGCATCTTGAGGGATGACACCCTGGTTTCCCCTCATGCTTCCCTGGAGAGTTCTGGAGAAAGTTGCCGGGATAAGGATTGTATTACAAAGGTCCCTTCTAATGTGACCAAATCAATTGGTCTGCAGGCCTTCTGTCCTCCACCCTTTCAGGATACTGACCAAAGAATAACCCGCTTTGTCCAGTTTGAGCACTAGATGCCCTGCGGCATAAAACCGAACTACTGTTTGTTTGTTTTTGGGTCACCCAGCAAGGGCTCCCCTTGATCGAAGCAGAGCATGAGCAAGATAGTTGAGGCTGTCTCTCTTGAGTATGAGTCGCCTGGAAAACCTTCTTCTAGGTTTGGCTGCTTTTAGGCTATTTTTATCGTGAGTCTCCCTTCAAGATGTTTGTGATGCAGCGAGCTGATCCTCTCCACACACTTCACATCATGTTATAACCTAGACTTCGGCTCTACACCAGGATCCCAGGTGCTCTTGTCTTAGTGCTGCGCTTCTCAATCTCACACAAGACAAGCATTTGTCATCATGCCGGCGAGGGCTTAAATGTTCCCACGGCCTCAATTCTCAATGCAGTGCGAGTTTCATTGAAAGGGAAAGTCTCGTTATGACTGTAACCGTGGTTCCCTGAAAAGGACCTGCCATACTTCCTGCGTGCTTGTGAGCAACTTGCTTCATCCTATCAGAATCCAGCGCTGCTTGATTCGGGTATACTTGATAGTTTCCTGGTCGATCCCGTCACGCCATTGGACAGATTTCAAACGTGCTTCACAACGTTCATTCCCACAGCGGCTATTCTCGACACGGCGTCTCGTTCCCTTTTCAGGGAACCAAGGTTACAGTCATAACCAAGACTATGCCCATTGATTTATATTTTCTCTGGCCTAACCCAAGCCTTACTACTAAACCTACCCATTACAGAAATATATACAAAATGCTAGATTAAAATGAAAACATCTTTTGGCCAATTTTATAAGCGTTTTTAACTAGTGAAATTACATACAAACACACACACTCTCTTTCACACACACACACACACACACCTCAGGCAGCATACTGTGAAGTGCTGCATTCATTTTGTATGTTTTTGTTCTGCTTGTTTCATATTGGATGGATTGATTGATGGCTGTGTTGTGTTTGGTGAGGATGAATGATCCTGTGGCGTTACAACAAAACTGCAACCGGATTCTGTCATAAACACACACAGAGAGAGAGGGGTCAGGCCATTTAACTATCAAAGGTTCCTAATGACAACTTCCTCCAGGAAGTTAACATCATTTTGGAGGGAAAACAGCAGCAAGCATGAGCGTATCTTAAATGACAACACACACAGATTCATATTTCAATCTCAAAACGAGAGATGAAAAACACGTCAGTTAATGCAGTGACATCAGGCTCATTAATGAGACGCATCTAATTTAATAACCTGTTAATCAGCATATAAAGCATAGCAGAACTGGATTGGAGATTAAATCACACACCTGTTCATGTCCTGTTCAGTCGTGTTCGGCTTGTAAGGACAGTTTAAGAAATCGGAGAGTTCCTGGGTAAAACTCTTCATGTCTATCCTAAAAGAAAGAAACACATGAGATGTTTAAAAACAATCATTCTCATTATTTACTCTCTCTGGCACAGGGGCAGATTGATGTTAAGTCACTCATACAAAAAAAATGTTGGGTAGTTTTAACCCAATTTTGGATCAAATATGGACGGGTTAAATTACATTTTTAACCCTATGTTTGTGTTTGTCCATATTTGACCCAGCATTTTTTGTATGAGTAATGAAATGTTTTCTCTGTGTCCAGATTTGACTGTAGTCTTTAATCATGTCTAAACATTTATACAAATGCAAAACCTAATACAATTATTGTCTGAAAACAATGCTTCCAGCAGTAGGGGAATACACAACCAGGTTTATATATTTATATCGGATCTGGTGGTATTACAGATGATAAATGGTGCATAATTTACAGGTAAATATTTAGTATTGTAAAAACCCCTTATATGTATTTGTTTTCCCAGAGATTCTCGTCTAAATAGCCATTATTAGTGGTATTTATTTTGTCACTAATATTTATGATGATTATTATAGTGCGGCAGCATTTGAGTAATGCATGTGTTTGTATTCGTGTTCTTGTGAGTTATCTTGGAGGGCTGCCTTGTGATGCGTATGATGGCACACAAAACTAAGTACAGATAAACTTCCTATTTAAAACAAATATTCAAATGTTTGTAGAGGCGTGCAAGTGAAATACATTTCAGCGGATGATGAACAAACAGCACAGTATCTGCCAGGATGAAAGTCAAATTACACTTACTTCCTCAATTGCAAGACTGTCAATGATGTTCAAGTAGTAAAATTAAAGAATATGTAAAATACTTATATGTAGAATAAATTATGTGTAGAAAATATGTATTTATATGTAGAATACTTATATGTAGAATAATTTAAGAATAATGTACAATTTGGGGTAAAAAAGCTCCTCTATTATTGGGGTTAAATACACAATAAGGGGACACGATCATATGGGGTTTAGCGTTTAATAAGGTGAGAAGCTTAACTTTTAACTTCAGCGCAGTGTTTTTAGAGCGCAACAATCAAACACTTACATCAAAACATTAGTTTCCACGTAAAATAGTTAAGAGTTTTGTAATCAGTTTCAAAATACACCACATTTGCGTTACAAATATATTTGCAGTAGGCCTACAAGCACTGAATTTGTATAATTTTTACAACGTACAACTTTTATGATTTCTTTTCTCACAAAATGACAAGCTGTAAATATCTTTTTTTTTTAACGTCATCTGCGGAGTATCGCACAATTAAACGAGTTTATAATCGGAAGTTGCACAGAATCGAGCAGTGTGTGAATGTTAATTCTCTGAAATATGAGGATCGTTGGGTGATCTTCGTTCTCACGCACTCTTTGGCCGGTTTGAGAACGGTTAACTTGCGTCTGAGTTTTGCGCAGCGCAGCTTCTGAAGCGCCTCCGCCATCGCATCTCTGAAAGACAAAAAGCATCAAATGAATTGTTCTTTGCATTAAACCAGAGGCTTTATCAAACATACAGTGCTGAGAAAAAGTATTTGATGGACAAAATGTACATCTCTAATTTCAATTTAGGCAGCATACATTTTCTGCAATGTCGAATTTTGTCCAAAACCTAGGCTACTATTGCGTACGACTGTAGTCCCTGGTTTTTCAGATGATCGGAACCAGACCAGTCCAGGGCAATTCTCTGGATACTCTAGATCAATAATTATCGAAAAAAAAAGTTGAACTTTTGCATTCGGGTGGCTGTAACAGTCTTTTAGAAAAGGGGCGTGACAAAAAGACACTCAAAAGCCTATAAATATTGAAAGAAAACTCAGAACTTCAAAAAAATTGGTGGGAATATGTGACATAACATAGTAATCAAGCATGCGAAATATTATGAATATCGGACCGTAGGTGATGCCAAAACTGTCAAAAAGCTTTGAAACCCATAAATTTGCTATAGTAAATTGGCTGTAAATGGTCTTTTCCATCTATGATGATAGTGGTTAAATGATTGCTAAATAAAACTTAATGTCTAAAACGCTTATGTGCTTAAAGGCCTTAAATGCTTGAACTCCGCTAAATGCTGCTTGCAGCTTTAATTATGTTTCTTAAGTGACGAACTGATGTCCGGACATGATGCTAGGTTTGTGTCTTGTGTGTCAGCTTCACTGCGATACACTATGAAAAGAGGAACTTATCTCTGTTCCGATCAGCAAATATTTTTCTCAAATATCGTCACAAGTCTGTCTAAATATGTGTTAGTCAACACTTCTCCTGTGCAGAGAGACAGGTGACAGGTGAGGCATATCAATGTGATTACTCAAAATTGCAAGTTATAAAACTCAGAGTTGCGTGATATGCAGCCGCATTTGCGTGTTATAAAGTCAGAATTGTGAGATAAACTTGCAATTGTGAAAAATGTATGTCAGAATTGTAATTAAAAAGTCGCATTTATATTTTAATTTATTTTATTCCATGGTGAAAGCAAGCTTCCATATGCTTCCGATTGCTTTTAGAGGGAAAAGCTGTCCATAATGCTGGTCTAGGATCAGTTATCCCCGTCATAAAATAATAAAAACCACTGTTTTGAGCAGTGAGTGGATTAGTTTTACGAGCGCACATATCCTCTCTTTATAAGCAGTTAGGCTATGTAAATAAGGCATCATTGTGTAGCTTTACTTTAGCTTTAGTCAAATGGAACTTCCTCCATATAGAATGCAAATCCTCCATATAGCCTTTAGTAAATGCGTTTAAAGAGGAACATTTATTATCATGGTGTTGGTGGTTCACCCCTCTGCCTATGATCAGAAACCGGGGGGGGTCGACTGCTTTTTTTCGTTGTTTATGGTGTGCAATATAACATGTATTCGTGTTTTTTTCTTTTTTTAAAAGTCTTATTTTTCATTAACTTCACCTTTATTGTCAGCCGCGCTCTCCTCTGTCCTCGAACGAGCGGTTAACTTCCTGAGTCTATGAAACCACTCCCTCAGAAAAAGGCAGTGGGCTCAGATTGGTTAGTTTGGGCCGGTGTGTGATGATTGGCTAAACTGTCGCTCACGTTGTCCGGAAGGTTAACGCCTATTACGGGCGAAACGGGCATACTAAAGGCATGCGTAAATGATGATGTCGAGACCGACTGCAGTCAGTTTTAGGCAGAATCAGACCGAGAAAGCAGCGATATATCATGTTTTTACTCTTTTAATTCCTTTAATAACTGGTTTAAGTTTCCTTGCTATTATTTTAGTTATTTTTCCGTGTTAAAGCATTTGAATTAATAGTGTGTCAAGTATATAAACTTGCATTGCCAGAGATCAGGGCTGAAAGTCTCTTCATAAAGCCAAAGGTAACTTATACATCCACAAAATAGCCTAAATAAATCTTTATTATACCATGGTCTGGGTGAATACTCGATTCTGATTGGCTGCAGGGTGTCCATTAAAAAGGGACAGAGGAGTTCTGGTGAAACTGACCGTTCGACATTATTAAATGCACTGGCTATATTAGCTGTGAGTAACCAACAGGCAGTCAAAGTACTCGTTTACAATTTATTGTATCAAAAAACATCTAGCCGTTATACTACGCCTGTGTTTTAATTATAGGTTAAAAAACTTAAGTGTAAAGCTAGACAAACGCCTACATGAAAAACAGGCTAACTTTCTGGCTTGTAGCTAACGCTAAACTGAGGGTTCTCCGACTATAAACTATCGGGGGTAACCAGGGAAACCAAGTTATTGTAAAAAAAAAAAAAAAAAAAAAAAAAACCTTTAGATTTCGATTTTTAAAACTAATTAAAATATAAACTTTTTTAAAAGTGTTTTGTGGCAAGTACCGTGGTATAAACCAGTTAGTTTAGATCATAGAGGTTTAGATTTTAGAAATCAGATTCTAGCTAAGCCTATATTCTAATTTAAGACCGTTTTGAATTTGGTTTTTGAAACAAACTTAGTAAAAGTGCTCAGTAAGTAAAATATATACACTGTAAATATATACGTATATAATTATTTTAAATCTTAATAAATTAACTGTATAGACTAAATTTCACAAACAAATTTCCAATTTCCATGAGAAAAACCCAATCGCAGTCACAGAAAGATCCAGATGTGAGCGAGTCTTCAGAAAGATAAAGGAGTGCGCGCTCACCTGGACGAGTGTGTGTCGTTTGTGTAGTAGAACATCACAGAGATGACCAGGACCATCAGGAGCCTGAAGATCCACTGGAGAAACACCACTGCCATCAGAAGCACAAGAGCTGGGCCAGTGTGTGTGTGTGTGTAACTGAGAGAGATCATAGATGACAGTCATACACACACACACAGCTGTTCTTAACTCCGCCCCTGTCACTTATAAAACTTCCTCTCTTCATGTATGATAAATCCTCTGCAGTGATGATGCATGATGTGTCAGTGTCACAATCTTCAAGTAGCCATACATTTCATTCTTTCTTATCCTATATAGCGTTTATTAAAATCCATGTTGTTTTTGTACATCGACTTTGTGTGTACGGTCATCATTCCCAGGGAAAACTGCAGGTTTACAAACTTTGACCTCAAACACGGCTCCTCACACACCAGCAGCAGATCTGAGATCAGTCAGTCTGTCCTGATGACGCCACAGACTATATTTAGCTAGGCTATTTGTTATAATTGTGATGATCACCTTGATTCTTCCAAATCCTTTCAATTAAAGGATATAATTTGTTACTATAAAGAAGATAAAGCTAGTTCTTCAATTAGTTACATTGTTAATTTTTTTGGGGGAAAATTTTATTCACAAGCAAAAATTCTCTAAATCGCAGCCTACATTTCCACATTTCTTAATCGAAATTGATACATTTCTGAAGTCTCTAAGATTGATTAAAAACAAGAAAAGTGACAGATTCTTGAAATATTATGATGATATTTTCACTGATGCATAAGGTTTCCTCTGTGTATGTCTTTTATTTTATTTAATTTTTTATTTTATTTATTTTATTATTTATTATTTATTTTTATTTTTTTATTTTCATGTGTGAAGCTTTATTTACTTGATATAACATGGGAAATATATATATATATATATATATATATATATATATATATTATATATATATAAGAAGAGTTCAGATGCAAAAGCCTCTAAGTGCCATTTGAAATTTTCTTCTAGAATGATCATTTTTATCAAGCTTGTATATTTAAGTTCAGTGATTTCACTTATATTGCAATGATAATTACCTATTAATTGTTATTTAAGTGAAATTACTGAACTTAAATATACAAGTTTGATAATCATCATTAAAGAAGAAAATTTCAAATGGCATTTAGAGGCTTTTGCATCTGAACTCTTCATATATATAATTGTGATGATTATCAGGTTATGAAAACCTGTTCACAATATTGTAATTTTGACTGGGGTTTTCATAAGCTGTGAACCATAGCCTAATCAAAAGTACAACAAACAAATGCTTGAATTATCTCACTTTGCATGTAACGAGTGTATATAGTTTCACTTTTGAAGTCGATATATAACACGATATTCTAGTTCTTCAAGTTTTGCCAGTATGTTGATCAAAGATCTCCTGGTTTGCAGGAAACCCTCTCAGACTGTGCTACACGATATTGAAAGAGGGATTATTTTATACACATCAACATCGTTACCAAATCCTGTTAAATGGGGATAACGAGAGGAGCTGAAGTATCTGTAGATAATAATCCTGAACCTAGAGAGCTTTTCCTCACTTTACACAGGTTTAATGTTCTCATGATATCATGAACTCGAGCGTCACTCTGTCCTCGAAGAGCACACATTTATCCACGAGTAAACACATGATAATTACAGTAAACTCATTATTTTGAGCACACATTTATCCACGAGTAAACACATGATAATTACAGTAAACTCATTATTTTGAGCACACATTTATCCACGAGTAAACACATGATAATTACAGTTAACTCATTATTTTGAGAATAGTAATCGCACATTTACAAATTGCTTCTTAGCATGTGTGTTTGCTGTGCCGAAGCGGTGAGAGAAACACTCGTCAGAAGAACAAAAAGGCCACTATGGCCATTAATCGTACAGGCATTTAATTACAACATACAGCACAAGATATTACAATATTATCGCTGATCTCTCCAGCTGGTGGCGTGTGATGGCTTTGCATTGGGTTTTGCCGATATAATGTGTTTTTAGCGGTTCAAGCGCGTTCACTCACTGTAATTGTTAAATTCAACATGTTAAATGAAATGGCCGATAACTTCTAAACCGTCAGTGTTTTTGTATCATTGGAATCCTTAAAACAGAAAAAAAAATTGCTCGTCATTTGGCAAAAGTTTCTGGAATTTAGGATTTTTTGGACCTGATCGGAACCAAACCAGTGCAGGAAGATTCTCTGGAGTCTGATTGCCGATGATCAAAACAAAGTCGAAATAAAATGGCTAAAACTCTTTAAGATCTCACATATAAGAGTTAATTCTGTGCTTCAGGTGGGGAAAGGACACTTGATGGCACTATAACATGGAGAAATGGCTATACGCCTTATTCACGGCAGCGCCATCTTTGATTTTTAATGAGAATGAAAGCGAGGCTGTGAGGGATAGACATCTCTTCAATGGGCTGTGCTGTTATTTAATGTGTTTTCGGATTGTTCTGCTCATGAAACACTGAAAAAATATCTTAAGCTGTGGAAAATTGTAAGTAATCTAGGAGCTTTATTCAGCTTTTATCAGCGGATGCCATTGGAAACACGGTAAGTCTATCCCTCACAGCCTCACGTTCATACCTGTCATGGCGCTACTCTGCGCTTCACTAACTCTGACAGACTTGAACATTGGCATGCGGTGTCTTCGTCCAAGGTGCCAAGACCGACTTTTGAGGACATCTCGAAAAACGCAGCCGGCTGTCTGGACTCTCTAGCTCAATAATTATTTAACAAATATTGAACTTTTCTCTTTGGGTTTATGTAGGAAATGGGCGTAGCAAAATATCCTCAACAACCTTTAAATCCTAAACAAATGAAGAGTTCAGATGCAAAATCCTCTAAGTGCCATTTGAAATTTTCTTCTAAAATGAGCATTTTTATCAAGCTTGTATATTTAAAGGGTTAGTTCACCCAAAAATGAAAATTAAGTCATTAATTACTCACCCCCATGCTGTACCAACCCCGTAAGACCTTCGTTCATCTTCGGAACACAAATAAAGATATTTTTGATTGAATCTGAGGGCTGGATCACTCTTCCATAGACAGCCTGAGGGACTGCCTCTTGACGGCCCAGAAAGTCATTAAAAGAAAAGGTTTAAATATTCCATGTGCCTACAGTGGCTCAACTATAACTTTATCAAGCGACGAGACTACTTTTTGTGCGAAAAAAAAAAACGTAAATAACGACTTTATTCGACTTTTCATTACTTCCCTATGGGCGCATGCGCGAGAACTGAGACGAGACCGTTCTTCTTCGACTACTTTTTGTTACCGGCTGCTCACCGCTTAGGAGTTTTACCGCCCCCTACCGTATAAGATGACGTACTGATATAGCCGGAGGCGCAAAACGTTCTGTTTACAAGCATGCCAACTTTTATGGAGATTAAACCATAGCTGCCACTGTTAAAAAGCTTTAGAAACCATCTATGTCCTATGGTAAATCGCACGTATTGGCTGCAAAAAGTGTCTACATGCTGGCTAAATGAAAAAAAAATCCCCTTCTACGCATTAACCTTTGAACCCCAATGTTTGCCGCTCGCAGCTGTATTTATTTCTGGATCTTTTTACCAATGCTGGAGTGTTTCGTCCTGGACGTGTATGATATTAAACTGTGTTTCGTGGACGTCTTTTGTTATTGACGATAGTGTTTTTAGTATTGTGGTGATATTAAAAGTTATAGAGAAATGTCACTATCCTATAGAAGTTTTTATTTTTCCTTTCTATAATTATTGTGTCGGTATTAAAAGGTAATCTGTAAATAAATGATTATATGTGAGAAATTCGGTCCATATTTTGTAAAGTAGAGTTTCTCCTGGTTTGAAACAGACAGGGAGATACGGACACTTTGTTAGGTTATGGTAACGTTTAAATAAACACAGTTTCTGTTTTGTGTGTTATTTTGCCCTGTAAAAGGAAAAGTGGGACGTAATACAAACTAAATAAATTCATCAACATACAAATGAAAATTAAAAAAAACTCACTTTTCGGATGAGATCAACCCAGTTTTGTTTCCGATATTTATTTTCAAAAGGCAACAAATAATTTAAAGCGGTCTGTACAAAGCTTGAGTACAAAAGCTATTTCAGAAAGTATTGCTCTTTAAAAAAAAAAATCTCTGCCTTGAATATTCTTTAAAAATCAAGTAAAAATACTCTTTAAAAGTTCACTTAAAACAGGAGTGACTCTGACCTCACGTGTGCCAGAGAACGATTGTAACGTAACATCCGATTTTTGATTCACACACACACACACACACACAGAGTTCCCATGATGTTCAGGGGTCCACGAAGGACACCATGATGTATCGAGTGCCCTGTGTGGTGGGCAGGCCCTCGTGGTAGTGCGTCAGGCGGCCCGGGTGCATGAACGACCAGCCCTTCCTGGGAGACTCCACCTTACAGTCGTAGCGCAGGAACCGGCAGCCTCCACCCTGACACACAAACACACACAGCCAACTCATGTCTGAATGAAAATGTAAAGGTGGTTTGTTTGGCACCGTGTCCTAACCAGACATGACGCGCGATAAAGCCATGTTGAGTTTATCCCGCCCAGCCGTGACAGCGACACGAGCCGATTCGGTTTTAGAAATGGGTTTGTTTCTCTGGAACAACAGCATATAACAGTCCTTCCAGAAAAACGCGGAGTTTTTTTGTGATTGTTGCGGGCAAAAATCCTTGATTACGCGGCCCGTTTTCTTTAAAAATGCGATGGAATATGCGGGATATTTATGCAATTTTATGCGATGAAATTGCGGGAACTTGCAAAAATTGCGGGAACTTGCAAAAACTGCGGTTTGATGAAAAAGAGAAAAAAAAGTGATTCCCCCAACACCCTGTTCTCACTAGGCAACTACCTTAATGTAAAGAGTCATTTCTTATTACTTTCTATGATGTAGCAAGCATACTACATTATAGAAAGTGCTGGGAATATTTAATTTCTCATCTTGTTTTATTTTTATTAAATTTTCAAAATCACAGAGTTTGATATCAAGTTCTTGACATTTCTTTTATGCATATAAAGCACGACAACGATAAACTCCGGCATTCATCTGTGCTTTTATAACCGTATTAAATGGACCTGAGAGACTCCGCCCACATGCTCTTCTGATTGGCTGTGATTTCA